TTATGGCATTTCTTTGAAGACTGTGAATATGGGGTATTTTAGTATTCATTGTACTATACTGATAATCTTTTTTTCTCTCTGTTTGTTCACTCCCTACACGTATCTTCATCCGCGTCTTTCTATCTACACACACACAGACAGTGACACATCCACACACACACACACACACACACACACACACACACACACACACACACACACACACACACACACACACACACACACACACACACATCCACACATACACACGTGTATGCATGATCCTCACGTGGTTATTGTTCGCGGCCGTCGTCAGCTGCTGATGGATGAGCCGCGTCAGGAGAGCATCGTAAGGGCGTCGGCCATTGTCAGCAAGCTTCGTTGAGGTAGACACGAAGGCCTGGACACGGACGCTCCCTCGCTCCTTCTGCAGGTCCCCGCCTTCCTTCTCCAGGGCGAACCACCCGTCCATGGTGCCCTCGCTCACCTCCTGCAGAAGCCGGGGCGATAAAGGGCATTGTGACTTCGACTAACGAGGAGGTTGGATTTAAGACTCGTTTTGTGTGTGTTTTTTACTTTATAAAAAGACCAATCTTAAGGTATGAAATGTTCTAAGGCTGTCTCTATATCTTATTTCTCTGACTGAACTACATAAAAAGCCGTTTTATACTTTAAGGTGTAAAGTGGCTTGAGTATTAGATCTACAAACTTAATTTTCGTGTAAGGCTACGCTTAAACCAGTTCCTCTGACAGAATAAAGATATTAAGATATATAATTGGGTAACCTTACATACCTTATATACCATGGATCTAAGAGGATTCGTATTGTTATAATCCTGTGTATATCAGTTTCTTTTACAAAAAAGAAAGAAAAAAATATATAATAAAAACATAATAGATAAATAAAAAATAACAATAATACAAAAGAATAAGACGAACCTTCAGGTATATAATGACTTGTCCGAGGAGGTGATTGGCCTGGTGTTGGGCCTGAGCTGTCGTTTCTCGAACGAGTCTTGACAAACTCTTCATGTCTTTAATTTTTGTTAGCTGCTGCACTGCCACCGCTTCGTGCTCGTGCCTGTAAACAGTTAGATGATTATAGAAGAGGTGTGAAAGAGAATAGATATCTTCACTATACAAGAGATGTGTTGAACCGGTTTCGAATATATCTTCGTTAGAAATTCATCTCTTGTATTGTGAAGATATTCATTCTTATTCATACTTTTTCTACATTTGGCGCCGTGAATATGGTTCTGTGACAACATTTCCTTATTGCAGACAGAAAGAGAACTCTACTAAAGTGTCTCTTTACCTGCAAATAATACTATAAGCTTACTATGAATAAAATGTAAGAAAAAATCGTTTGATTCGATTAAAGTACACAAACCCAACTAAAGTTTATTTCCGAAAGTTATTACTTAATTATCTTTCTTGAAAATCACGAAAACCACAGATGTTATTGATAATTTCCTTTGTTTTTTCTATACTAGATTAATCCAAACATAAACAGCGGAAAAGGACAACAGCGATAAAATATTGAATATTCACGATTAAAAGTTCACAATCAGGAAGAAAATTCTACTTACCATATCTGCAGACGGACGACATCATTTTGAATGTTATTCACTTTCCTGAAATAAAAAACGATAATTCTCATATACCTGGTATAATAATTCACAAACTTTAGATATCTGTATAAACGGATGATATAATGTAACATGGAAACCAAACAGAGAGAAGTAATAATGATAAGATAGCTTAAAAACAATTGAATTAGTAAATAAAATTGCCCACGTGCGGTTGAGAACCATCGGCCATGCTTTCTCAGAAGAGTTCGACGCTTAAAGTGTTTTCTTAACCTCTAAAACACTTAAGGCGCCGCAATGAATGCAAGTTGTAATTTCCGTCAGGAGAAACACGGAAAATTCAAGATAAAAAAGAAAGAAAGATAAGGAGAGAGAGAGAGAGAGAGAGAGAGAGAGAGAGAGAGAGAGAGAGAGAGAGAGAGAGAGAGAGCGAGAGAGAGAGCGAGAGAGAGAGAGAGAGAGAGAGAGAGAGAGAGAGAGAGAGAGAGAGAGAGAGAGAGAGAGAGAGAGAGAGAGAGAGAGAGAGAGAGAGAGAGAGAGAGCAAGAGAAAGAGAGAAAGAGAGAGAGAGAGAGAGAGAGAGAGAGAGAGAGAGAGAGAGAGAGAGAGAGCAAGAGAAAGAGAGAGAGAGAGAGAGAGAGAGAGAGAGAGAGAGAGAGAGAGAGAGAGAGAGAGAGAGAGAGAGAGAGAGAGAGAGAGAGAGAGAGAGAGAAGGCCGTGGATAGAAAACTTGGCATCGTTGGCGTAAACAAAGGGTAAGGCACCGGACCTTCTTTAGGGAAATGCCAGACAACCGGCAGCTACTTGTGCTAACTCGCGATTTCAGATTAGAATAAAAAAAAAATCTCGTTGATAAATATCGCAAAAAGGGCTGATGAGACATTCTTCCAAAGGTGAATTTGTTATGGGTAAAATATATAGAAAAAGCTTGGTATGTTGACCACCTCAAAGAAGATTGTCTTAGAGGCGTTTTGTTGTTGTTGTGTGTGTGTGTGTGTGTGTGTGTGTGTGTGTGTGTGTGTGTGTGTGTGTGTGTGTGTGTGTGTGTGTGTGTGTGTGTGTACGTGCGCGCGTGTGTGCGTGTGTGTGTGTACGTGCGCGCGTGTGTGCGTGTGTGTTTGTGCATTTGAGTGTGCGTGCGCTAACTGCGTATGCGTGTAATTTTTCTCAGATGTTCGGAATGAATACAACCAAGGTCAGATTTCCCAGTCAACACAAAAACAATGCAAACTGCCTCACGGTCACGATCACAATATCAAGATTAGAAATTGCATCATCGGTAAAATCTAGGCTAGTGACAAGAGCTCATCAAACTTGCCAAATACCCATCGATACCACTTGACCCCGTTTCTTCATCTCTGAGGACTGGTTATACGGGAAGCAAACACAGACACACACGCACACACACACACACACACACACACACACACACACACTCTCTCTCTCTCTCTCTCTCTCACACTCACACACACTACACACCACACACACACACACACACACACACACACACACACACACACACACACACACACACACACACACACACACACACACACACACACCCTCACCCCCCCCTCACCCTCTCCCTTCCACCCTCCCTCTCCCTCTCCCTCTCCCCTCCACACAAACACGCATTTTTTTTCATTTTTTTTTCTTCACAAGAGAGTAAAAATCTCAAATATCAAATAAGTGGTTTAAAAGACGAGTTGCCTAATGCCGTGTTAATGGGGCACTGTTCGATCTCGGGGAGTAAGCGATCTCTTGTTTGGCTCTGCGTTTCCCCTCTGTTATCACGGATTCCTGTTCCGCGTTTTTGGGGTTATTATTATTATTTTCTTCTTCTTCTTCTTTTTTATATCGGGGTTTTCTTTGTTTTCTTGATTTTTTTTTGTTGTTGTTCTTTTTCGTTTCTTGTTTTCTTTTATTCGTTTCTACTTTTTTTTTTTTTTAGCTCTTTCTTCTTTTTTTTCTTTATTTCTTCTTTTTTTAGTTCCTTTTTCTCGTTCCTTCTGTTTTTTTTGGGGGGGTTCGTTTTTTCTTCATTTTATCCTAACGTTAGCTCTTTCTTTTTTTTCTTTATTTCTTCTTTTTTTAGTTCCTTTTTCTCGTTCCTTCTGTTTTTTTTTTTGGTTCGTTTTTTCTTCATTTTTTCCTAACGTTTTTTTTCTTCTTCTTTCTCGATTCTTCCCCTTGACCTTCCCTTGACGCTTCTAACTCGCTTCCTCCTTTTATTTTTTTTCTTCTTCTTTGTCTCCTTTTCTCATTTGTCTCCTGCTTTTCCTTATCTTCGTTTTCTTTGCCACCTCCTTTTTTTTCTTCGTCGTCTCTATCATCTCCTCTTCTTCGTCTCCTATTTTTCCTCTTCTTCGTCTTCTCTATCTCCCTTATCTTCGTCGTTTCCTTATTTTCTTCTTCGTTTCTTTTGTCTCCTCTATTTCTTCTTCGTCTCCCGCTTTTCCTCTCCTTTTCCTCCTTTGCTCTCTTCATCTTCTTCTTCGCCTTCTTCTGTTCTTTCTTCTTCTTTACCCTTCCTTCCTTTTTGTTCTCCTTCTGATTCTTTCCTTCCTTTCCTCCAATTCGTAGCTCGGTCTTGGAAACCAACAAAATTATTGCTGATTCTCCGTCTCCCTTCTTTCGCATACTGATGGTGCAACGGGGAATTCCTTCTTCTGTCTTCCCTTTTCTTCTTTCTTCTTCTATTGCTCTTTTTATCTTTTTCTTCTTCCGAATCCCTTTCTCCTTTTTTCTATCGTTTTCTTCAGTTCCCTCGTTCGGTCTCGGGGAATAATATAAGGCTGCGCTTTCCTCAGCATAAAGGCGGAGTAATCGGGCATTCTTCTTCTTCTTCTTCTACTTCTTCTTCTTCTTTTCCTTCCTCTTCTTCTTCTTCTTCCTCTTCTTCTTCCCCCTTTTCTTCTCTTTTTCTTCTTTTCTTCTTCTTTTTCTTCTTGTATGTTTCTTCTTTCGTTCATCTATACGTATATGTGCATATGCGTACGTATATATCCACAAATACATACCACGTACTCTGATTATGCCAAGAAAAAAGGAAAAAGAAAAAAAGAAAAACAGAAAAAAAAGAAAAAGAAAAAAAACTTGGCACTCCCTCGGATGAACTGGCTCAGATCACGGCCTTTGAATGAGACATTGATTAAGCAAAACTGACCCCAATCAACCTCCCTTTCTCCCTCACCCCTGGGAACATCTCGGGAGAAAACTAAACCCGCATCGCCTTCTGGGAGGAGATTTTGAATGAAAAGAAATACGAGAAAAAAGAGAGAGAGAGAGAGAGAGAGAGAGAGAGAGAAAATACGTAATTCTTCGTTCGACATAGAGATGGGGAGTTGGTTTCTCTGGTTCGATCTGGCTTGAATGGCTCGTTTTGGTTTGACTTGGCTCGTTCTGGCTTGCCCTAGCTCGCTGTAGCTAGGCTTGCTTGGATGACTCGCTCTGGTTTGCCCTGGCTCGCTCTGGCTTGGTTTGACTTCAATGACTCGCTCTGGCTTGCCCTAGCTTGCTCTAGCTTGGCTTGACTCGAATGACCCGCTCTGGTTTGCATTGGCTCGCTCTAGCTTGCCCTAGCTCGCTCTAGCTAGGCTTGAATGACTCGCTCTGGTTTGCCCTAGCTCGCTCTAGCTTGGCTTGACTCGAATGACTCACTCTGGTTTGCCCTGGCTTGCTCTGGCTTGGCTTGGCTTGACTCGAATGACTCTCTCTGGTTTGCCCTGACTCGTTCTGGCTCACCCTAACTCGCTCTGCTTTGCACTGGCTCGCTCTGGCTTGGTTTGACTTCAATGACTCGCTCTGGTTTGCCCTAGCTCGCTCTAGCTAGGCTTGAATGACTCGCTCTGGTTTGCCCTGGCTCGCTCTGGCTTGGTTTGACTTCAATGACTCGCTCTGGTTTGCCCTAGCTCGCTCTAGCTAGGCTTGAATGACTCGCTCTGGTTTGCCCTAGCTCGCTCTAGCTTGCCCTAGCTCGCTCTAGCTAGGCTTGAATGACTCGCTCTGGTTTGCCCTAGCTCGCTCTAGCTAGGCTTGAATGACTCGCTCTGGTTTGCCCTAGCTCGCTCTAGCTAGGCTTGAATGACTCGCTCTGGTTTGCCCTAGCTCGCTCTAGCTAGGCTTGAATGACTCGCTCTGGTTTGCCCTAGCTCGCTCTAGCTAGGCTTGAATGACTCGCTCTGGTTTGCCCTAGCTCGCTCTAGCTAGGCTTGAATGACTCGCTCTGGTTTGCCCTAGCTCGCTCTAGCTAGGCTTGAATGACTCGCTCTGGTTTGCCCTGGCTCGCTCTGGCTTGCCCTTGTTGCCCTGGCTTGTATGACTTGCTGTGGTTTGCCCTAACTCGCTCTAGCTTGGCTTGACTCGAATGACCCGCTCTGGTTTGCATTGGCTCGCTCTAGCTTGCCCTAGCTCGCTCTAGCTTGCCCTAGCTCGCTCTAGCTTGGCTTGACTCGAATGACCCGCTCTGGTTTGCATTGGCTCGCTCTAGCTTGCCCTAGCTCGCTCTAGCTTGCCCTAGCTCGCTCTAGCTTGCCCTAGCTCGCTCTAGCTTGCCCTAGCTCGCTCTAGCTTGGCTTGACTCGAATGACTCACTCTGGTTTGCCCTGGCTTGCTCTGGCTTGGCTTGACTCGAATGACCCGCTCTGGTTTGCATTGGCTCGCTCTAGCTTGGCTTGACTCGAATGACCCGCTCTGGTTTGCATTGGCTCGCTCTAGCTTGGCTTGACTCGAATGACCCGCTCTGGTTTGCATTGGCTCGCTCTAGCTTGCCCTAGCTCGCTCTAGCTTGGCTTGACTCGAATGACTCACTCTGGTTTGCCCTGGCTCGCTCTGGCTTGGTTTGACTTCAATGACTCGCTCTGGTTTGCCCTAGCTCGCTCTAGCTTGGCTTGACTCGAATGACTCACTCTGGTTTGCCCTGGCTTGCTCTGGCTTGGCTTGACTCGAATGACCCGCTCTGGTTTGCATTGGCTCGCTCTAGCTTGCCCTAGCTCGCTCTAGCTTGGCTTGACTCGAATGACCCGCTCTGGTTTGCATTGGCTCGCTCTAGCTTGGCTTGACTCGAATGACCCGCTCTGGTTTGCATTGGCTCGCTCTAGCTTGCCCTAGCTCGCTGTAGCTAGGCTTGGCTTGGATGACTCGCTCTGGTTTGCCCTGGCTCGCTCTGGCTTGGTTTGACTTCAATGACTCGCTCTGGCTTGCCCTTGTTGCCCTGGCTTGTATGACTTGCTGTGGTTTGCCCTAACTCGCTCTAGCTTACCTAACTCGCTCTGCTTTGCACTGGCTCGCTCTGGCTTGCCCCAACTCATTCCAGCTTGCCCCGACAGGCTATGGCGGCACAATGACGTCAAAGGGATGCCCGTGATGCGCAAAAGACAGACAAGACGCCTTAAGAGCGGACGCAACGTGAATGTGAGAAGAATAAGAACGTGAGAGAAGGAAAGAATGGATACATATTTTTACATACGTATATCCATACTTGTAAGTTAACATGCAATGTACACAGACGCATACGGCATCCCCTGGCAACCAATATATACATAATGTATACACATGCGTAAATCCTAATGAATATCTAATTTAGAGTATAATAATAATAACTATGGAATACCTAAAGAACGCAAAAAGAATAAAACACACACACACACACACACGAGTAATGCAACACCGCTGTTGATCACCCTCCCGTGTCCTATGGTCATTAATTTAAGTAATATTATCTACCAAACATATACGGCCGGTCTGTTAAAATTCCGCGAGGCCCGACCACATAAACATCCATACAAATCGACATACACAGAAATAAACGCATGGCTATTAGTATAGCCTTCCAAATCTATCAGTTACATAGATAGCTGTGCGCTTATTCCTATACATAAACATGTCCATACAAATGAACAGTCACTGGGTCGGGCTTTTAACGAATTTAACAAACCTGACGATAAACAGAAGCATACTTACAAAGTGAAATCTTGGTTCCACTTGGGACTGAGTGTATTTTTCTCGAGTCTGGTCCGCTGAGAACCGCCACTGCTGGGTATCACTACAGTCGCGTATGGGTTAGCTTTGCCTGAGAATTAGAAGGTAGTCTTACTTCTCAAAAAAAACGAAACGAATAAATATTAAAAAATAAACATACAGAGAGGAAATGAAATAAAACGGAGGAAAAGGAGGGAAAAACGGAAAAAAATATGTTTTACTATTTGTCTGTTCTAAACTTAGTGATGAGAGGAAGGGCAGATTAAATGAAATGTTTGCTTTATTGCCTGTTTAGTTGATTTGCAGAGTGAAGACGGAAATAGGATTAGATTATGAAGCAAAGATGATATAGTAAGAGAGAAGGAAAGAAAACTTTGTATAATTACTGTACATTTGGCTGTCTAAATTTTACAATAAGGAACGTATGTTTAAATTATAATATAAGGAAAATATACGAGAGAGAGAGAGAGAGAGAGAGAGAGAGAGAGAGAGAGAAGGAAGAGAAAGAGAAAGACAGACAGACAGACTGACAGAAAATCAACGAAAAGAAAAATAAGTTTAGACAAAGCTTCGTTCCCTGAAAATTCCACATGACAAAATGAGACAAAAGTAGTAGTGACGTAAGCTCTGGCATACAAGAGCGAAAAGTCATAGAACTATCTTTCGTTTTTGTGAGAATGTTGCACATACATCTCGACTAATCCTTGAACCACTTGTCTTAAGTGTGAGCATCTCAACATAATCTTGAGAAATCACGGGCTTCCCTTGCAATAACCAGTGGCCTTGCAATAACCTTTCTTCTTATTCCTGGTTTTCTAGATATATATAAAAAAAAATCCCTGGTATTTATGATATAATCAAATTCATCGTTTGAGTGTAATTAGTCTTATGATTTTTGCATTCATTTTTACTAAGATGAAATAGAATCTCCAGAGAATAATATCACTCGAACATTTTTTTTAAATATTGAGAAAGAGAGAGAAAGAGAGAGAGAGAGAGAGAGAAAGAGAGAGAGAGAGAGAGAGAGAGAGAGAGAGAGAGAGAGAGAGAGAGAGAGAGAGAGAGAGAGAGAGAGAAAGAGAGAGAGAAAGAGAGAGAGAAAGAGAGAGAGAAAGAGAGAGAGAAAGAGAGAGAGAGAGAGAGAGAGAGAGAGAGAGAGAGAAAGAGAGAGAGAGAGAGAGAGAGAGAGAGAGAGAGAGAGAGAGAGAGAGGGAAAGAGAGGGAAAGAGAGAGAGAGAGAGAGAGAGAGGGAAAGAGAGAGAGAGAGAGAGAAAGAGAGAGAGAGAGAGAGAGAGAGAGAGAGAGAGAGAGAGAGAGAGAGAGAGAGAGAGAGAGAGAGAGAGAGAGAGAGAGAGAGAGAGCGAGATAGAAAGAATGAACCGAGTTAAATACCTTTCACTGTCTTCGGCCGCAAGTCCTTGGCCTCCCTAACACTCAAGTGAAGTATAACTTCAGGAACCTGGTGGTGAAGCACAAACAAACAAACACTTGAGTAGATTATATATATAGCTTGTTTATACGCCTCGTTCGTGTTTGTTTCAGGTGCACGGGCGTATGCGTGTTTGTGAAATCCTGCGTGTTTTTTTGTTTGTTTTGGGTGAGGAGTGTGTCGTGTGTGGTAATGTGTTTTGTTGTGTTTGTGGTTGTGTTTGTATCTGTGTGTTGTATGTAGGCGTTTGTGTGTTTGTTGTATGGTGTCTGGGTCTTCTTGTATACATATAATATATATATATATATATATATATATATATATATATATATATATATATATATATATATATATATATATATATATATATATATATAATTCATATATCAAAAAAAACATTACATCTTTCATCTCATTTCTACATTTCTGGCAAGGAAAATAGTAAAGATAATGATAACAATATTAATAATAAAAACAACAATAATGATAATGATAATAATAAAGATAACAATACTACTACTACTACTACTACTAGTAATAATAATGACAATAATAATAATAATAATAATAATAATAATAATGATAATAATAATAATAAGGATAATAAAGATAACAATAATAAAGAAAATAAGAATAAAGATAACAATAATGGTGAAAATAAGAATAAAGACAACGATAACAAAAAACAAAAACAAAAAACAAATTAAAACAAGATAAGGAAGAAGAACAAGACGAAGAAGAAGAAGATGAAGAAGAAGAAGAAGAAGAAAAATACACACCGGCCTCGTCTTGATCTGCTGTGTAAGATCCTCCAGCGTGTCGGCCCCGACGTGGAAAGCCTCCTGCAGGACCTGGGTTACTTGCGCTAGGGACACGCTGATCCGGTTGGAGGACCCGGGTACCGTCTGGCCCCCTGCAGACGCCGCCGCAGCCACCGTGGGTCCTCCGACTGCCCACACGCCGCCCCCAGCTCCGCCCATGAGGGAGTGGACGGAGTAAAGGACATCTGCTAGGAGTTCGTCGCT